CGAATGGGAAATCGGTCGGACACAAAAAATGCTCGGGCCTTAACCCTTAAAGGACGATCGGCGAGGGTATATGCGCATTTGAACAAACATGAAAACGTGCGAAAACAGGCCCCACCTGTTGTTCCATCCTTCAAATTTTCAACTTCACAAGACTCCGCGCCACCCATCCTCAAATGTTAGTCGTCCTATGAATAGATCAACCGGCAACTGCGGGAAGCGCTGCCAGTTTAAGCAACAGTCGCATGGTTATCGAAGTTTTCAGGCAGGCCTGATTATCCCCGCATCAATTTGGAACATGGCGAAATGTAAATAAAGATATACAAATCTAATGTTTAACGATGTGTGTATCGATAACGCATGCGGGACCCCCGCAGAAGCGAAATCTGATCACCGAGGTAGCCATATCATATTGGCCACTTCTTCTAGGTGCCACCTCTCCCCCCCCCCAGCTCCCTCGTGCCTATCTTCGCGGAGTTTGCAAGCCCCGTCGTGAGAGGCGATGATTAAATCCTGGCTTGCTTCGCACGCCCCCCAAACTAGCCCGCCCCCCCCCCCCCATCCTGCGCTGAGGTCGCTGCTTCTTGTTGTAATGGGGATTATTCTGGTGCGTGATGCATGTCCTCTCATGGGCCGTCTGCCCGTCGGTGTCGATGGTGAACTTGCCGATGGAGGAAAATGCGTAGGCATCGGAACAAGTTATCAGCGCGCGCTCTTCCCGCAGCCCGAAGCAATCTACGACGCCCTCATGTGGCCTCGTGCTTCTCGCCGCCTTTGTCGAGCTCGCAGTTGGCTCGAGGATATCCGACAGGGCTCGCCTCCGCTCCTGGGTCTAGGTCACGCGAAGCCTTAACGGCCTCCACTCTCCGCTACTTCCGAGGATCCGCGACCCCCCCGTGGCCAGCGAACAAAATCACGTCGTGACTTACTTGGATCGAGCAAGGGCCACCCCCATTCAAGTAAAATGCAGCTCCATGTTAACATGCCCCCCCGACAGCGCGCGGCTACAATTGGGTTCCCTTCTCTTCCTCTTCACCACTTCCCTCTGCGCAGTTTCACCGCGCGTTGTCAACTGAGGTCGCGGGCGCCCATTGCCCCCGTGGCACCATCCTCCGTTCGCGCGCTCCCCCCCCTTGGCCCCACCTAGCGCGGCGGGGGGGCCAACTCCGACGCGGTGGGTAAATTTTGTCATGGAAATCGACTCCCTCGTCGCTCGGCCTCAAGTCGCGCGCGATTCCTTTGGGCGCTTCAGTATTGTCTCCGACGCGCTCGTCCTCGACGCCACTTAACTCGCTGCCGCAACCCTCTTCCCCATGGTCGCCCTCCAAATTCATGATCACTGGATTTTGCCTAGGGCCTGCTGGCTCAGCTGGACCCAGTGGGACTGGTCCGCCATGAGAGCCCCCTGCATGGGAGGCCGTTCATCTCTTCCTGCTCGCCTCCTCAGCCTTTCTCGCCCCCTGTCGCGACTCGCAATTCCTTTCAGGGCTTGGGCGGTGAACTGGGAGTTGCCGTTCCTCTCGTGGATCGCGGTTTGCTGCCCGTCGCCCCGCGCTCGAGGTAGCTGGGGGATCGCCCGCCTTCGTCTCGATCTAGAACCACGCGGTTTCTGATTTCTGCCATGTCGCGCGCAGACCCGAGCGCCGCCTCAGAGCCGGCCACGTGGATGGGCACGCTCGCCGCAGACCCCCCCCCCCCTTGTTTTTGCCAGCGAGAACTCCTCGCCCATGGTTCCTATTAACTGACCCAGCGGCTGCGCCGCAGCGCTTGCAGCTCCCTGGCGCCTCAGCGAACTCGAAAGGGAAGTGGGTTCCCGCGTCCTGATGCCCATCCGCGGCGTGGGCCCCTGAATCTGCGGCAAAGACTATTGCGTTCACGCCGCTCCTGGCCCCTTCCCGGCACCTCGTCAACTTCCTTGTCTGACCCCTCCTTCTCCACGAGCTGCCGCTCAGCGAATTGCTGCATCCAACGCGACCCCCCCTTGTGCACTCTGCGATTCGGTTGCCCCAATTGGCGCCGCGGTCGCAGTTGACGCTGCGCACCTGCGCGGCACGCCTCCTCCTGACCCCATACTTCGCCCACTGTCTCTCCCGTTTGATTCCTGGCGCTGCGCCCTCTACCCCTGCGCCCCCTCATCCAGCCCCCGCGCAATGACGTGGCTGGCAACTCCGCCTGCATCAGATGACTCGCCCATCTCGACGCTCGACGCCGTGGCGCCCCGGTCTATGCACGGGGCTGCCCTGACATCTGCGCGGGCTCTCCGGCGCCCCCTGCCCCCGTTGATCAGGGGGGGCCCCTCTTTGGCGTTCCTGGGCAGCGCGCAACGAGGTGACCGGTACCCACCGCGCTTGCAACACTCCCTCTCGCTGATCGGCACGGACCCCCGCTTGCCTCATCCTTTCCATCCTGGGGCCTGGTTCTCTCTGTAAGCTCCTGTCTGGTTCCCCCTGTGTAACATCCGTTGACGTGACCCCCCGGGCAATCCTTGGCGCCATGCTGCCATCCTCTTTGCTGCCCTCCCGGCGCTCCTCGGTAACCTTTGGCACCTCTGTATCCCTCTCTTTTCAGCTCCTTGTCCATCGGTGGTTCCCTTCGTGGCGCCGTTTTTTTGCAGCGTTTCTAGATGTCCTCCACACTTGTGATACATGTGCCCTTTGCCTTTGCATTTTCCTTTGGTAGTTTCGCTCGTCGCGCCGTTCCGAGCAATGCCTTCCCCATTCCAAGTCCACCAGTTTCCACCTGCGTCAAAGTAGCCGGCCTCGTTCACGTTCGCGCCCCGCTCCCCAGCATCAGCATCGCTAGCGTGGGCAATATGCATGGAGTCGTTGTTTTTCCCCATATCCTAAGGATTGGGGTTCTTG